ATAGATAGATAGATAGATAGATAGATAGATAGATAGATAGATAGATACAGGTAATAAAAGCACTAGATTTTTCTTCCCTGTATGAGTTTACCTTTCTTTTGGAAACCACAGTCCAGTTAGATTTTATGGACACAACCACTTTATTTATGCAAACATACTTTAAAGTATGAAATGCAGATCCATTCAGGAAATGTATTTCTGGTGGAGACAACAGTTTATCAGAAGCAAACAAAATGCTGAGCCAGGTTTCTTAAAAAAAAAAAAAAAAAAATCAGCACGGACCTAATGTGCTGCTGACTTTGACGGCAGCACCATAAATGTCTTGAAGTCGAGTCCAACAGCTTCTGTAGAGTGATATACAAGCTGACTTGTGTAATACGACGCAGTCAATACCAACTCTGGGCCTTAAAGGGAGCCAAACATGACGTCTCCCAGGTGACCAAATAAGACTGATGATTGCAGGCGGGGGCGCTGCAGCCTGTCAGTCAGCGCCACGCAACTGCTTTTGTTTACACACGTTCGAGCGGAGCCCTTCATCACTTTCCAACGTCCTTGAGAGAAGTTAGTTTAGTGCTGAGTGGAGCGATGAGCTGGGAGATGAGGCCTTTAATTAGTTTCAAGGCAGGATGATAATTGATCATCTCTCTTAGCTAACCCTACCATGAAGGGCTTGGCGTAATTAAAAACAAAATGCACCACACGATGACGCAAACTAAACCGTTAGCATTATCGATAAACCTGCATCAAATCCAAACATAAACAAAAAAAAATACAGAATTTGAATAGGGTTTGATTGAAGACAAATAAAAACAGAAAATCAGATATTTAAAATTGGATATTGAATGAAACGCATTTATTAGGCTTTTCCCCCTTATGGAGTTTGTTAAATAGAAACGGACTGAGAAAACTCCCTTGATGCTGGTATTGGCAGTTCAGGCATTAGGTAAGCAGTGATATCATTAGCATTCATGAGTCAAGTAATTAAAACATCAATGTAACCAAGCAGTGCTGTTAAGACACTTGTGTGCTCTTTTGCTAAGTCTTAGCAATCAGCATTAAAAGTACTAGACTGAAAAAAGTAAACAGTTCATGTGTGGCTATCAGATCGCTAATTAGCAACAAGCTGTTCAGAAATCGCTCCTATATATATATTTTTTTTTTTACCAATACGGTGGCTCAAATCTTAGCACAAAAACAGTATTCGCATGAGGCCGCTCCAAACAAGTACACTACCCACTTACTGCCTTTTAACACTTGACAATAACCTGAAGAAAAAAAAACAAGACCGGTAATGGAGACACACTGCAAACAGCTCATCCTCCCACAGACTGTTGGAACAAGCGTGAGGAGAAAGAAACAATACCTTATTCACAGCCTTATAGAAAACAGCCCTACCTGGAGTTTTTTCTAGTGAGGATTTACAAACAATTACCACGGCCCGCCACAGTCAGAGGGAAAATACTTAGCTTCCATACAACAGTAATCCTCCCAAAAGGTTCAAAATGAAGGAACGGCACTCAACTGAGGAGCGTTCCCTCTTGAGTTTATCCCTTGCTTCACAGAAATGTAGCACATTTGTACCATTTTTCTTGGGTTTATTTACATTTGCTAAATAGTTTACCACAAAAGAACATAAATAATGGTTTTAGGAGGCATCTCTTGCGCGTCATCATTTCACCGTTTCCCCATTTCCACTAGGACCGCATTTTTTATTCAGCCGTCACCACCTGACAAGTAGCCCTTAAGCAGTTCTCACGGCACATAGCCTAAACTCACCAGCTGTCAGTACTGGTTTGGCTCGTCCATAACATCACACTGCCCGGGTGTGAAGTATCCGCCTCATAGTAGTCCGTCAAATTCCTGTCCACGACAGCCATGTGTGCACACGGTGCGAGAGACAGGTAGCCTTATCCCCGACTTTGAGGGGATTCATATAATCTTAAGCCAACAAGAAACGACTAATCTGTTTAATCAGCTGTGAGTTTGTGACAAATCTACATTTCTGTCAGTTTCTTTGACTTCTTACCAACTTCCTGAGGGTACTTGAAAATAGTGACAGGACAGAAGAAGAACACCCTAACTGAGTAGTGTTGAAAGTGTTAACTCCTTACTTCCATGCTCAGGGCAAATGTGGTTGTCTTTATTTTTGTGTTTTCAAATCACTGGTGGGAGAAGAAAGGGGAAAAAAATAAAATCACAGCTATGTTTTACATGAACCTCTTGTGACAAACCGCAAGCAAAAAAAAAAAAAAGACTTGCCACATGCCACAAGACAGGTGCAAAGCCAAACAAAATGTAGAGGAGGAAGTAAGGGGAAGTGTGAAGATGAGGGAGCCACAAAAATTTCAGCACACACTTTCAACCCAGACGTCCTTTCCTGTAAGTAAGGACCATTCCCGTGCTCATTCACCCACTCACACGTTTGAATCCCAGTGACAGAGCACTGGTGAAGATTCCCAGTCATCCAGAACATGGTAAATTCAAAAAAACAAAATAAATCAAGACGAAAACAACTGGACTGTATTTGTAACAGAAGATGTTTCACTTCATCTGAATGGCTCAACACAGGACAGCCAGCTCTTTAGGTCAAGACTCTGTGGTTCACCTACACCTTAAGGATAAGGGACACTCATTTGAGGTCCAAAATGTTTGGACCGAGAAGACAGATAGTTTGAGAGGGGGAATGAAGGAAGCCATTTATGTAAAAAGAGCTAAACTATCTTTAAATAGAAGAGGAGGTCTCAGATTTCAACTCTCCAAAACTTAAAATGAAGCTTTAGGACTGATACCCATGCATTTTCACATCTGGATGGGGTAGAGGTAGGACACAGGACCCCAAAGTCCAAAGTTTGATCTCCAGCCATTGCCACATGTCGTGGTGTTGCTGTGCAAGACATTTAATTCCTAATTGCTCCCTGGGCACCTACATAGCTGCCCACTGCTCCACTTGGGTGTATCCCAGGTGCAATGGGTTAAATGCAGATGACTAATTTTGCCATTGTATGGGAACATACAATCACGACAACACTTGGTACTTATTATTATCAGGAATTTCATCCATGTGACCAGAGTGGCTCCTCTGTGAGTCAAACTAACATAGACCCTAATGAACCCCGATTGATAGGGCAAACTGCATATGCATCTAGCTTAGCTCAGCTTTATATAACTCGAAGGGAAGGAAAGTCTGGGATTGTCATCATTGTATGTTCCCATACGATGGCTAAATTAGTTTAACCATCACACCTGAGATGCACCCAGGTGGAGCAGTGAGCAGCTATTTAGGTGCCCAGGGAGCAATTAGGGATTACAATAGGTGTCTTGCTCAGAGACACCATGACATGTGGGAATGGCTGTGCGACTTTCTGGTCCCAAGTCGGCTACCCTACCTTTTTCCCCCATCTCGAACCTCACACTCTCCGTTCACCGAATTGAGAAAGCTCCTCGGATGAGAAGCGAAACGTCTTCTGTTCATTCAATCTTAATTGAGCCATGAGGACTCATTTACAAGAGAGACCTGTAACAAATAAAACAAAGAAAAAGCTGTTTTCTTTTTTTTTTTTTGTCTTGAACTTCTTTGAATTTCCCACCGACTTGAGCTCAACCTCCAAAGAAATGGTAGGATTGCCTTCAAAAGACTCAGACAGCTGTGCCAAAAGACCAGATCCCATCCAGCAACTCATCAATAAGTCCATGATAACATCCCAGTGGACACATTCTTAACAAACAAGTTTAAAAGTTAGGTATAGGGGGGGGGAGAGCATGTTAGAGCCCTGTCGTTCAGGTTAGAGATTACACTCAAGGTGGGTGTCGCAACACGCATGGCTGCATTTGTGCGGTTGAGAGAACAAGTTCTGCCAGTTGTAACGATTCATTAAGTTACTCAACAAGTGACTCGAAAACAGCACGTTGTTCCTCCATGAACAGAGACAAGCAGCGGTTAAAAGTTGTTAAAAGAGTCGCGAACACGCGTTCAGCTGCGAGTCCAAGCGAACTTCACCCACCTTTTCCTTATTCTCGTGCTCGGACGGAGTGGGAGACTTAACGCTCCCTGCAGCTACAGCCTGGGTGACGGTGACTCCCCCGCCCGGAGCTGGGCTCTTTTCGGTCGTTTCCACCTTGATGAGTCGGTGTTTGGGCGACACATACTTCATGTCGGACGACGGCGCAGTGATCAAGCTCGAGTTGAAGGAGACATTTCCACCTGGAGTGTAAGGGTCCTCGAAGTCCAGCTCTTTTTGGAGTTTGTACGCAGTGAGGATGTCCGGCTGAGCGGAGCTCGGGAAGCCGCTGGGTGTTTGCTGGAAGCCGGGAGTGCCGGGCACACCGGTGTGGCAGTGTCTGTAGTCCGGCTTCGGAGGCGCCGGAGGGGGTGCTTTGGTAGTTTTGAATCCCAGGTGCTCCTTGAACCACTTGGCCATTCTGCCAGTTCATCGCTCTGAAGTCAATGAATAGTTCACTTCCACCTTTCTTCCCACCGGCGCGGCCTGACTCACCCTAAAGAAGATTAATAAATATAAACAAAGCAACAAAAGTGGGAGTCCTCGGGTCGCACGTGCCGTCCAGCCTCGTCGCGCGACTCCCCGGCGGTCCGAGGAGGAGCGCGCGCAGCCACAGGCACTTTTTATCACCGTCTCTCTCTCTCACACACACACACACACACACGCGCAAACACACACATTCACTCGCAGCTGTCGCCCTGACTGCGCGTCTACTGAACCACGTCAGTTCTCCAGACTACGCAACACGCGAGCGCTTGTGCAAGCAGAGGAACACGCGCGCACAACCTGCCCTCCATACCTGAGAGCGTTCACTGCCACCTGCCGGACTCTGGAAACTTCAGCCACCAGCAGCTCCACAGTCAAGCCAAATGTATTTAAAACAGCAGCTGTTACTAAAGTGCTTAACAATAAGATCAAGGTAGTAATTAAAGAAAAATACTAATAACGAGTGTCTGATTAATAATAATAATAATAATGATGATGATAATAATAATCCAAGTCAAGGTTCTTTATTGTCATTTGCACCATGTGGTTCATGTGGTGGAACGAAATTGTGTACATGGGGTCCCAGTTACATCCAACAAAAGTATAATTTGTAAAGAAAAACAGTAATAAGATCTAAGATATGAACTAAGAATACGCTAAAACTATACACTAAGCACTAATAGTACAAAAGCAAAACTCAGAACAACGGCAGCATGAATACGTGAAACGATAATAAGTGTCTGAATATTAACAGTCATCTGATTCAGCCTTGTGTTGGTTCCAGATTGTTTAGGATTTACTCATTGCAAAAAAAATGAAATCAAACATTAAAAGCAAAGTTTATCCAGCACTGAGTCAAATGATGCAGTTTGAAAGGGTTTGTTTTCCAGATATACTGTATTGATTCCCAGGTTTGTAATGCAGGTATGCACTCAATGTAAACAAAGCACTACTTTTCTCAACAAATCTCTGTGTACATTTGTAACAATCCATTTTACCCACTTTTGTTTTCCTTTTCAGGTTGTTGAGGTTACTGGTGCCCATATTCAGCTATCACTGTGTGAGAGGCGGGACGACACCCCGGATAGGTCACAAGTCCATCACAGGGACACATAGAGA